CCTTTTTCCAAATTTCGCAGATTTTTTAATAAGGTTTTAATATAATTTAACCAAGTTTTACTTTTACCATTTAGACGACTGTCTAAACTCTTGATTTCGTCCAGCAACCTTAATTATAATACAGGCTCTTATATTCATCAAAGTAGCTGAAAAGTTTGTTGATCATATAATATTTTTCTGCAATTAAAGAACTAGTAAAACCTTGATATAGCAAACCCTTGATATAGTAAATTTTTAAATCAAATATATTAAAATTACCTTACTATAGTGAACTAGTCAATTAAATTCTTTAAAAAATTCGTTATAAGCTTATAACAAAGTTGATATCCAGATTCTAGAATTCGTTATATCAAGAGTTCACTGTAATAATATCCTTAGTATCGGTTGATGTGTAGAAATGTGTAGGTAAAGTAATAATAGTAAAAGATTCTTTGTTATTATCATCATTTACATTAGTGATATATTATTCATAAGGTTTGAAGTTGTCAATTCAGGTTTCTTTCTTTTTTTCTTTAACGTTTTGAGTTTAAATATTAATGAAATTTTATGAGAAAGAAAAGAAGGAGGTTGATGTAGTAGCATGCATAGAGTTATTTGTAATTTAGTCAATTAAAACAATAGGTTGTGAGTTGTTCATTTCCATAACAGAGTCTACTTTAATATTTTTTGATATTTAAGAAAAGGTATTTTGTGTGTCTGAGTTATTAGTTTGATTATTAGAAAGGATAAAAATAATATTTTCAATAATATTTTCTAATCTATTTATAGGATAGAAAGAGAATATTTTCATTTATTTTGAGTTTCAGTATTAAATGTGTTTGGATTTTTTGTTTAAGAGATAGAAGATATTTGAAGTAAAGTATTTTAAGCTTTGAAATAACAAGTTCAGTAAAAGTATTTTTGTTTTGTAAATTTTTGTTTAAATTTTTCATTTGTCTAGCAGTAGTTTTATTGAAATAGGAAAGAGTTATTTTTATCAAAATCAAATCAGTAGATCAGTGAAAAATCAATAAACAAGATCATTATATATCATATAAAAAATAAGACTAATCAAATTTTTTATATGATATACAACAATCTTATATATTGATTTTTCGCTGATCTACTGATCCAATTTTAACAAATTTTAGCTTATTAGAATTGCTGCATTAAGGAGAATTAGAATTCAGTATCAGTATTTTTGAGTAGTCAGCCTATTGAAAATTTTTTTACACTTAAATTTTATTAAGTAAGAATTTTTGATGTAGATCAAAAAATTACGCAAAATTGGTCTTAATAATTGCACTTCAAAATTTTACTAAATATTAGATAGGTTTTGAGGTTTAAAACAAATACAAAACTATATTTCTAGCATTTGTGATTGGTGAATTATAGTTTTTAAAGGCAAGCAACTTTATTTATGTTTTCTTTAGAAGTCACTATATGTGTAAGTAAATTATAAATTAATCAGTTAAATATATTAAAAGAAATATTATGGATTATTAAAGATAAAGAACAGAAGTAAAATCTATTATTTTATAAAGTTAATTATAAGTTTACTATAGTAATTTAGTAGGACTTTAATATAACAGTTTTTATAGATATCTCAATATATAAAAGATGTATTTAAACTAGAATTATGATGTGAATATTTATTATAAAATGTAAATCTTCAGTAATCTGTATACTAATAAGTAAGATAAATATTAAATAATTGAGTCAGCTTTATTAAATTTAAATATTTTTCCAACTATAAGATCCAAAGTTATTTATTTAAAAAAGCAATAAAAACTTGTAGTTAATTAAATGATATAAGTTTTTAGAATAAAAAAAGAAAGTATTGAATACCAAGAATTCTTGGTTTAAATTAGCATCAATAATTTTACAATTTAAAAACAATTTCTCAATAAGTATTAAGATTATTGAAGTAATATAAAAATTAGTTATGATTTTATGTAATCTGCTTAATAAATATAATATTCTTTCTTCTTAGATTGATTTTTTAATTGAAATAAATTTAAAAATATAATTTTGTTAACTTTAAACCTATATATATTATATTATAATTAGTAATTATTCAAAACTAAAATTTTATAATTTAGACTTATTAAAAATAATTTAGTTAATTGTTTAAATAATTTAATTAATAGCAGAAACCATAGAAACTAATTTTATTAAACTAAAATTAATTTTTATAATAATTTTTAAAATCTAATATATAATAAAAAATTAAGATTAAAAAATTTATATTAAAAATTTTATTAATAATTCATGATAATCTTATTTTATTTATTAACACAATTTATGTATTAAATAATATAAAAAATTTATCATGAAAAAACTTTATTATTACAAATTTTATAAATTAAAGAAATTGTATGACTTTGATTAGTAATAAGTGATTTAATTAATACACAAACATAATAAAATTTTTAAAACTTAATTATAAAGTAAAAAACTATTTTAAAAATTTAAAATACTTATATATTTTATATAATAGTGATATTATTAAAATAAAATTAACATTCTAAGGGGATAATATTATAATTATTAATATAATTATATTTATAATAAATTCTGCAATATAGTTATCTTTAAAATTTAAATTTATCATTAAATTTGACATATGCATCTTAATCTTTATATTAATCAAGACTATTCGCTTTGGATAGCGAATTTTTATAAAAATAAAGCCTTGGAAACTGTCATGCTAAAAATATCAAAATATGCTTATAGGTTAATTTTTTTTAATAAACTTATATTCATATACCGAGATTGAAAATTGAAATTTTTTGAATTTTTTACTAAAAAGTTTTCTTTAAACCTTTATCAATTAATCGGGTCGGAAAATGTTCTGATTTCTTGTATCGGAAAATTAACCATGATTACTACAAAAATCTAATAATATACACACATCACTTTCGGGGTGAATTTGACACTTGCAAATATTGTCTGTTTTTCGTGTAACAATTTTCCTATTATTTGTCATAATTTATGTCATCACCTATACCAAACATTGCTTCTACCGCAATATTTCATAAAATTTAAGCTATAACCTTAATTTTTTGGCTTCAGCTTCTAAAGCAGCGCGAATTTGTTCAGTAATCCAAGTAGCTTTGCTAGTAGCAATTCGAGAACAATCTATAATTGTTTCCATTTCTAATGGTATACCACCAGCTTTTGATAAAGTACAAAGTTCTTTATGAATATTTAATGTCATTGTCATATCACCTTGGCGAATTTGTTCTTCTTGTAAAGTAGGATCTACGACAACATATTTTCTAAGGAGAAAATAATGAAAACCATTAAAACTTGAAGGAAATAATAATCAAATCTTTTAAAAAAAAACTTACCCATCCTCAAAGAAAGCAAATGTTATGCAAATGGGCATATGAAGTATACTTAATGGAACAGGATTTCTTTGTTCGATTGGATGCTAAAATTTAAAATTTTTTGCAGATATTAGTTTAATTAAAGAAGGAACAGTTACAAGAACTTTGAAAATTAAGTGATAATACTATTGTGACTTCTTCCCCAATAACAGTAACATCGGGCCTTCTGAAATGAGCAAGAGCCGATATTGCAGCTATACAAGCTGCATCTATTATATTTCCATCATGATCAAGAAAATGTATATCAACGCGTATCGACCATACCTAAGTTATAGAATTAAATTAAATATTCTTTTGTCTATAAAATTGTGATAGTAAATATTTTTCCATCATACTTTTTCATTAGCAACAATACATAATCCTTCAGTATCAATAGCTCGACTTCTTTTAATAGCCTTTTCGAGTATACGACTTACAAGGACTTCTTCTTCCGAAGGTCTTATTATAAATAAAAAAGAAAAGTGAAATTATAAATAAATTTAGATAATTATTACAATAACAGGCAATGAATAACGTATAAATCACCTTCCAGGTTCTATACTAGGAAAAGCCATTGGTGATAATTCCGTACTTAGTGTTATCATACCTTCATTAGGACGATCGGGATAAGGACGTATAACTTCACAAGAAACTTTAGCCAACACCCTATTGTATTGTAATATCTAGTAACCATTTGAATTAACCACAATGTACTCGAACATTTAAATATAAGTTTTACCTAGTATTTCCTAATATTACTTCAGAACGACCATATTCCGGACCAAATATAATACCTATTGCTCTAAATTCGTTTTTATCACGATTATCAAGACGCAAACCTTCTTTTATTCCTTTTAATATAAATTCTTTTTCATTATTCGAAAGTTCAAATTCTTTAACCATCATGAGCGAAATGTATGTTAATGAAAATAGACGAATTTATCTGATCGGACCATTTGGGGTGTGCTGAGAAAAGTGATCAAATTTTTTTTTATTTGAAGTAGTCCCCTTTCTGAGCCCACACCCCATTTAAATAAATCACCGGATATTTCAATATCATAATATTATATTCTTCGTTTGAATAATGGAACGTCTCGTTGTCTTTGATTTTGATTGGTATAAAGGATTTATTAATAAAAATATAATATATATATTTTAATAAAAACTATACATAAAATTAATTTTCGTTGATAGGTCAATGATAGATAATAATTCGGATCCATGGGTACTTGAGCAATTATCAAAAGAACTTGCAAAGAAAATTGACGAATTAAAAAGAAAAGTGCAATGGACTGATTTAATGTGTGTTATTATTAGTAAAATTATCTTGAACTTTAAAAAACCTTTTATTTAACTTTTAATAGGCACATGTTGTTAGAAGAATTACATCAGCAAGGTTTTTCAAGACAGCAAATTGAGGATGCATTGGCAAAGATTCCATTTGTAAGTATCTAATCACAGTCTTTAAATGATCCCGTAATTAATAATTCAATCTGTTATTAGAGTCCGGATATGATTGAAGCGTTAAAAACTATTAAACGTGGTAAAGGAGAAATCATAATCCTTTCGGATTCCAATACAGAATACATTGATATAATATTAAAAGTGAGTGTTTGAGTGAATTCATATTAAATACCTTCGAATTCTTCTGAATGTTAAATATTTATTTAGGCATATGGTGTAAGAGATTTAATATCAATTATTATAAGTAATCCTGCAAGTTGGGATGAAAATGGAAGATTACATGTAAAAAGATTAATTCCCCCTGAAGATCCTCCTCATGGATGTGAAAATAAATGTGCAGAGAATATTTGCAAAGGTCGTGAATTAATTAATTATCTTTCCTTACATTCAAAAAAATTTAATCAAATTTTTTATGTTGGTGATTCGTATAATGATTTTTGTCCTGCTACTAAGATGTCTAAGTATGTTTTTTTTTTGTTCATTAATTAATTTCTTGAATTCTCTTAATTAATTTTTTTTTTTAAAAAAAAATTAAGAAATGATGTGCTTTTGATAAGAAAAGGATTTTATTTAGAAAAGTTTTTAACATCTTCGACAATTAAAAGAGAATTAAATCCAAGAATTGTATATTGGCAAGATGGCAAAGATTTTCTAAAAAATATACAATTAGAATTTAAATAAGAATTATAAATTGAATTGTATTTACTTTTTTATAAATATAAATATAAAAAGGTTAAATTAAAAATTATATAAACTTATTTAAATAATTAAAGAATCATTATTATTTTTTATTATTTATTTATTTTGATTAAGTATTTAAAATAAAAAATTTTGTTTTTATTAAAATCTTTTTTAATTATATATTATTTTTTAAATTAGATTAAATTAATTTCAAAAAGTTTTATCATATAAATAAGAAAAAATAAGAAATTAATTTATGATAAATAAAATTATTAATATAGTATTTACTTTTTAAAATATGGGAGGTTTGCTAGAAAAATAGGACTCTGAGAATTTTTTATTAAAATTTTAATAAAAAATTTTTAGAGCCCTATTTTTCTAGCAAACCTCTTATATATTACTTTATGAATTATATATAAAAAATATAAAATATTATAATATAATACTTTATAATATTTTATATATAAAAATATCTTTATTTTAAAAACTCTTTCCTAAACAACTAAAAAACAAACGAAAAAGATCGACAAAAGAAAATAATGCCTGTTACTCGTTCAACTCTTGCTAAAAAACAAAACAATGAACAAACAATAAAACAAATGAATTAACTCTACTAATAACAGTAAAACCTTTAATTTTTCCTCCCAAACTTTCGAAGGCAACGAAGATATTTTTTCTCTTAAAAAATAAAAATTTTCTCCAGTATATATGAAGTCAAAATAGATCATTTTAGATATCTGAAATAGTCAAAATAATCAAAATCATTTTTTTTAATACTTTTACTAGGCACGTGCTGATGGTAAAGTTTAGCTGCATACCTTTCAACAGAATGATATGACTTACAATATATAATTACTACTATACATAAAGTTAAAATAGATCATTTCAGATGTCTAAAATAGTTAAAATAGTTGAAATTATTTTTTTTTTATGTTTTAACGATGTGATATTGTTAGTACATTTTATTAATTTATACAAAAATACAATAATAGTAAAATCAAAAACTAACAAACAAATAACTAACTACCCCTCATAACTATATTGCAAGTCAGTTTGAGTCAACCGAACATAATCACCTTCTCTAACAGATCCACTATACGTATGCATAATGACTACTGTCTTCCACAGGGGATGGAAATAAACTATGGTCAATACTACTTCGTTATCTCCTTTCTAAAGTAAATTCCCAAAAATAAACAAAAACGTAACCCTTCAACTAATGATGACATATTTTCTGAAGAAGTAACTATGAAACTTGACCATCTACGCTAAAAAATTTACAAAAAGAAGCAACATAAGGGGACTCTACTAAATTCCTAGCTAAGTTGTTCAGTCAATTCTGGATTACAGTGACCACCTGGCACAGGTGCATTCATATCACTAAGTTCTAATAGAAGCTCTTCAGACTATCGCTTCCAATGCTAAGATATCTGTCAATTTAGATTACAGCTGACCCACGGCACAGGATGAGGCCTAAATCATACAGTCGGTCAAGTTCAGAAAATACTGCATGGAATTCTACAGTCTTCGACGTCAGAGATCTGCAAAAAAAGAGTGTTGCCGTTTATAAAAGAATAGAGATGTCAACACATAGATTTGTATATCCAAAGTATGTTGATTGTGATTGTCAATTGGAATACCCCTTAATGTTCACTTTTGTAGACAAATAATTTAGAAAAAGAAAAAATATTTTAACAAAAACAACACAGTTTAGACTTCAACAGCAATTTTTATATGAATAGGGGTTGGGAAAATAAAGAGAGGAAATTTTTGAAAAGAGGGGTTTTTTATTTTGTTCGCAGGCTAAGCTGTGGCTGCCTTTGAACAGGCACTTTTTTAAAGTAAAAATCCTTGGATAAAATCCAACGAAGGAGAAAGAGAGTTTTTTTCGGTCAAAATCATTTTGACTATTAGAGGTGAAAAGTTAAAATGGTTGAAATGATATTATATCACATGATTTTTTATATATAGAAAAAAAAACAAAAGATGTACGAACTCAGTCAATATTGTTCTGATTCGTATAAAATAACTACCATTTAATTCTCCTATTTGATTTCTCAGACACTCTTTTTCATTGGATTTTTTCCAAGAATTTTTACTTAAAAAAAGTGCACATTCAACGGCAGTAGCGGCTTAGCCTGTAAACAAAACAAAAAACCACACCTTTCAAAAATATTTCTCTCTTTATTTCTCACACCCCTATTCATATAAAATTTTTCAAAATAGTCTAAACAGTGTTGTTTTTTGTTAAAATATTTTTTTTTCACCTCTTTTAAAAAAATTTTTCTGTTTTTCTTTTTTTCTTTTTTGCATACTAAAAAGTGAACATCAAGGGGTATCTTAACTGATGATTATAATTAATATACTTTGGATAAACAAATCTCACGTGATGATACCTTTCCCCAGTAATGTACATTTTCGATATCCTAAACATTTTGAGACTGTCCCACACTATATCCCAAAAAGTTTCACATTAAGTCTCAATGTCCCAGGCCATATTCTAAAAATGTCCCATGACAACACTACCTTTCTCCTTCCTAAACAATATACTCTCTTTTGATTGGCCTCTCTCTTTTTGCAGATCCTCTATTGTCAAAGGTCACGTGCAAATTTAACATGAATCATATTTTGTTTTCTTCAGACATCTTTTATATGGTGTGATGGTAACTATTACTTAGTTTTGTATTTTTGTCAGCTTAAACGAGTTTTAAATAGAATAATGCGAGGCTATATTATAATGCTTACTCAGTATAAGTTTACTTTGTCTAGATCTATTCCTTCCTAGTAACCAGGTAAAGGGTATAGGTTACTATCTATTAATATATTGTAGGATTCTCATAGTGGACTTCACATGATATTTTTTCCATACTTATGAATCTATAAGTATAAAGAGTCTCAGTTTGGACTTTTCTTTAGACACATCTTCTTTGGCTAGGTGGTCATTATACTGGAATTAACTGAACATTTAGGTTTTTATAGAGTTGTATTAGTCTTTTTTAATAATTTCTTATTTGTACTTATTTCCTTTCTTAGAAGGGTTATTAGTTTGTTTACATTTTTATAAAGAAGTTGAGATCGAAAGGCATTTAGAAATTACGTTATTGTATTGTAACCTCATTTGAATTTCTTGTTAACGGTTTGATCATTAAATATGGATTTTTTGATTTGATTGGAAGGGATTCTAGTGATCAGTCGATCTAAACAGTGTAGTTATCATAACCTTATTTTACAAATGTATAGCATTTTTAAGTTCAATAAGCTTCAACATAGCTTGTACCTTCTTGATCGTTTCTGTCACTCATCATCAAGAGAATTTGTTTTACAAATTAATTTTTAATTGCTGAGAATCTTTTCATTCACGTCGAGCGATAATTTACTTTGATAATTTCTTTTTAATGTTATTGTCATCTAATCTTCAGTCAAATTATTCTTTAAGTTGTTTTATTTCTTCTTTTCATTCTTTCTATAACTAATTCTACTATCATATATTTTTATTTCTTTCAAGTATTTCTTCTGAATATTATTTCTGAATGTTTCTTCTGAATGTCTTCTGATTATATTTTCTGAATGTTTCTTCCAAATGTCTTCCAAATATTATTTCTCTTTATTATTTTTTAATATTTTCTTTAATTTTTTTATTTATTTTTCCTTTGTATCATTATGTTTAAATATTCTTTAACTTTCTGTTATATTTTTATTATTCCTTATAAGTTTCATTTCTACATTACTTCATTAACATTTTCCTAAATTTTATAGTTTATATACAAGCGTAATAACTTTATTTATTTCTATAATTTATTGTTCAACAATTAATTATTTCAAATAAAAGTATTCATTTTTATTTGTGTTAAAAGTTTATTTATTAAATTATTATTTTATTATTTTTTTTTTTTATTCTTGAGAAATTGCACGACTTGGTTCCTTGAGATAATCTTAAGCCTTTATATAATAAAATTCACTTTGTAATATTCATTACACAATTTTTACTATATGATTTTCTATATGATTTCTATTTTTACTATTATTTCTAATTTCTGTTGTTCATTACTAAATTCTGTATTTGTTATTGTTTACTATTTACTGTTTACTGTTTACTATTTAATTTCATTCTGTTGTATTAATTCATACTTTTGTTATATTATTTTTACTTTTGTTATATTAATTCTCATTTGTTTACTTATAATTATTTAATGTTTTAATAATAATTTTTCCTTCTTACTTTTTTGGATTTCTGTCTTTCTTCTGTATTTCATATTACTACTAACTTCCGTTCTTCTTCTGATTTCTGTTTCGTTTATGATGTTATATGCAACCTTTATGTTACATAAGCTTCCATGTGGTCCAAGTTGTCATTCCCAACAGGTGTGCCTTTGTATAACCTTCTTGCTTCCTCATGTAACTTCTTCAATTTGTTATTTTTCAAATATTTTTCTATCTTTTTATAAGACCCTCCTCCGTCTGATTGATTAATTATCCTTTTCCTTTTTAACCCTCCATTCGGTTAATTAATTATCCTTTTTCTTTCAGCAACTAATTTATCTGAATTATTTTCTTCTGTGATTTATCTGTCTCGTGTAATCTTCCTTTTCAGTCTGTAATTTATCTGAGTATTATTCTTTCTCTTAATAAAATGATTATTCCTTCTTTTATCATATGACTTTTCCTTGTAATTTTTACTGTATATTGTTGATCATTTCCTTTTGTATTGCTACGCCTTAATTAATGAAATTGTTGACTCTACAACGGGTTTGAGCGTTTATTAGCAATAGAACTACAGAAGATAATCATTCATTTAGCTTTTTATTTACTTTGTAATTTTTCTTTGTAAATTTTATCTAGTATACAATATAAAATTAATAAACTTATAGTAGTACTGCATCATTAAACGTCTAAAAAAAACCCTCATTTGATTTTCCGTGACTAGATAAATCCAATGAGCTAACATTTATTAATTTCAGATCATCCAATCTTAAGATAATCGCAATTGTATTATCGGCCAAAATTATGAATCAATAAATTCTATTTTAAATAAAAAAGTCCTGGATTTCGAAATTCAATCGCAAATTTTTCGAGATGGGATGATCTAAAATCAATGAATATTAGCTCATTAGATTCGTCTAGTCACGAGGAATCGAATAGTAGTTATTTCATATGAATCAGAATGATATTGACCGAGATTGTACGTCTTTTGTTTTTTTATTTTCCTAGTCTTTGATCTTCAAAGTCAAAACATTTTGACTTTTGGGTTTTCATTTCAACTTCAATTATATTCTCCACTACCAAACAAACAAAAAAACTAAAACAAATATTCATAATATTATCATGATACTTCCCCCAATATGACTTCAATACCTTTAGATAACTTCTCTGAAACTTTGCTACCAGCTAGTGTTCTGCAAAAAATCTGATTCAATCCAAGTCTGATCTGGATCTGATAGATCGGATCGAATTGAATTTATCGGATTCAAATCAGATTCAGATCCAGATTTTGATTTGATTTGATCATCAGATCTGGATCGAATTCAGATTTGGATTTGATTCAATTCGACAGATTTGGATTTGGATTCAGATTCGATCCATCAGATTTGAATTTGGATTCAGATCCGATTTGTTGGATTTGAAATAAAAAATGCCGCCCTGAAGTCGGACGCAGCATTTATTATTAAAAAAATTTAATTTTTAATAATAAAATGCTGCCCAAAAGTCAGACATAGTATTTATTATTAGAAAATTAATTTTTATTAATTTTTAATAACAAATGCCATCCCGAAAGTCAAAGGCGACATTTATTAATAAAAAATTAATTTTTATTAATTTTTAATAACAAAATGCCATCCCAAAAGTCAGAGGTGGTATTTATTATTAAAAAAATTAATGTTTAATAATAAAATGCCGCTCTGAAAGTCAGATGTAGCATTTATTATTCAAAAATTAATTTTATTAATTTTTTATATTAAAATACTGCCTGGAAAGTCAAAGGCGGCATTTATTATTAAAAAATTCATTTTTAATAATTTATAATATTAAAATGCCACCCTGAAATTCAGAGGCGGCATTTATTATTAAAATTGATTTTTTATTAATTTTTAATAACAAAATGCCATTCTGAAAAGTCAGAGACAAATTTTTGTTAAAAAAACAAAATTGTTTTTTAACATTAAAATACTGTTCTAAACGTCAGAGATGGATTATTATTAAAAAAATAACAAAATTGTTATTTTTTAACATTAAAATGCTGTTTTGAACGTCAGAGACAGATTATTATTAAAAAATAACAAAATTTTGTTTTTTAACATTAAAATGCTATTCTGAATATCAGAGGTAGATTTTTGTTAAAAAACAACAAAATTGTTATTTTTTAACATTAAAATACCATTTCGAATATCGGAGGTAGATTTATATATTCAGATTTATCAGATTCAAATATGGATTCAAATTCAGATTTAGCAGATTCAGATCGAATCAGATTCAGATTTTTCAGATTCAGATTGAATCAGATTTTGCCTAAATCTAATCTGATTCAATCCGTGTGAAACATTAGGTAATGTGTTTATTTCAAAAAATAATGATAAAATTATTTTTGTAAAATAATAATACAGTTGATTCCCCTATAGTTACAAGTTTTAGGATCATCCCAATACTGTGATTATAATAAGGTATACTTATTAGTGAGATTTTGCTATATAATCACACATATATAAACTTTTAGTATCAATGTAATTATATAAAAAATTACAAAATTATATCTTTATTTTAGAATTATTTATGATTTACTATATTAAAAAATAAAATTTAGTGTCATATAAACAGATCAATTAACAAAATTTTAAAAGTTAATTAACTAAGTATAATAATTATTATCAATAAAAAATTATATTGCATATATTAATATACTAATTACGTTAATCATATAATGCCTATCTTTTAAAAAGCATATCAAGTGTATTTTGTTTTTTTTTGAATTAAATTCTTAAACTTTAGATGTTTTTAGATACCTTCTTTTTGTTTGTCTTTATTTCAAATATCTAGCTCAGTGATATCTTCTCTTTTTTTATCATTATTATCATTTCAAAAAATATGTAAATCATTAATATCAAATTCAGGTTTAATTTACTGTTGAAATAGATAACAAATGTTTCTTAATCACTAATTGCCTCTTTATTGATACTGGAGATATTTCTTTATCTGAACCATTATTATTGTTAATTTCTTCTTTATTCTCAAGTTGTATCAAGTTGACAATTTGTTTTTCAGCAAAATATTCTTCAACTGAAATTATATGATCAAATATCTGAAAGTAGTTTTACACATTGTCAACGTCTGAAATCAACCTTACTGCACCGATCATTGATGACCTATGGAATGACGACGTAATAAGTACTGTGCCAAATGATCTACAGAATCCCTGATTTC